CCAGCAGGCGTGCGGCACGACCATGATGCGGCCACGGCGACGGCGCGGCCACGGCGACGGCGCGGCCAGGGCGCGGCCACGGCGCGGCCAGGGCGCGGCCACGGCGAGGCCAGCGGGGCTCCGGCCAGCAGGGCTCGACGGCGTCAGCAGGACGCGGTGCGGCATACGCGACCCTCGGGATCGTGGACAGCACGGCGTCATCTGGACGCTGGCCTCGGGATGTGTATCTTCGTCGCGTTCATCCGGAAAAACGACGACGCATGGCACATCTGGTGCTGTTGCGGCGGTACCGCGATCATCTGGATCGCGATCTGTACCGACTCCCTATAGTGCAGTCAACAAGTTCCTCTTAGTCCAAGAACATCGACATTGGTCGGCGACGTGTTCGTCCGCTCGGTTCTTGGGAGGAAAATCCACACCATAGGTAGATCAAATCCGAAAAAATAATCTAATCGCAAAAACGGAATCGCGGGAACGAGATAAATCCATTTTTGCAAAGAGTGGGGATCGAATCTTATACCTCCGCGGGATCGACGAAAGCCTGCGTGATGCAGGCTTGACGCAGGCTTGACGGAGAGTTGGTGGAGCAAAGCGTGCTGATAACGTGTTCCGCAACTCCTGCCGGCGAGTCCGGTCCAAGGTTGCGGAGCGGAAGCGAGCGTCGTAGACGAAGTAGTCGAAGTAGTCGAACACGCGAAAGTAAATGACACGGAGAGATATGGAGAAGACTAGCTTTATTAATCAATTATCAGGTGTTACGATGATGGCTCCTCGGTGCTTTATATAGGAAGAAGGGGGTCAAGGGATAAGTACCCACTTAACGTAACGAGGGGAACGAGAGGGGCTAGCCCGTCGTTTAGCACGCGGCCGCTGCCACCCTCCCGGGTGACCCGGTTTCCCAACACCTAACAGGTAACAGCGCTGAGCGCCGCACGGTTGAGGGCGTTGCGGCCTTCATGGAGGTTTGGCCAACAATTGGCTTCGGTGCCGCACCGGAGGGCCGCTGTCGCTCAACGCCACCGGGTAGCACGGGCACGAGCGCATCGTGTGAGGGCGACCTCACCGACCACAACAACAGCGTTAAGGGCCATCGGGCGTTCTGTGGTGTGCCATGGATACGCACCTTTGGACTCCGTCGGGCGGGGTCGTACGCGGGCCGTTTTGCCTCTACATGCGGGAGAATAGTCATTGCTTTCTTCTCATTCTGTGCGACCAAACCACTCTCGGTTACGAGCATGCTGATAACCTGTTTGGAAGAGAAAGCAAATGATTGAGCAGTTGTTTCATTGATTGATGACTAGGGTATTGATACCCTCATTACAAGGCAGTTATAAAGGAGGCTGTTGCCAAAACATGACCACCGACATAGCATCAATTAACATTCAGTTAGCCTAATTAATTAATCCCTAACAAAGTTCTCTGCATGTTCTAATTATTATGGGAATTTTAATCTATTTCGCTTTTGTTCCTTCTATTGTGCCTGCTACCTTGCCAGGCGACCTTCTATAACCTATTTATATATAAATAGATAGATGCAAATCCCGTGCATGGTAGAATCTTTATTTCCTCAAAGTACTAGTCCATGATAATCAACGAGTTCCGTACATATTACTAGTACTAGTACGTGCTAACTAAAGCGTCTCATGCATGCATACACAACCGAGAACTGAGCATACAATATATGCCTAGCTTAGCCACGGCGGGCCAGCCAGCCGAGGCTACCATCTACGGCGCAAATTAGCACTTGCTGCACTCGCCCCAGCATCCCATGTGGCATTGCTTGTCTTTCCCATACGCGCACCGGTTGCAAGCTTGGGCGTCACAGTCGTTGCCGCATGCACTCTGGGCGGCGCCGTCGCAGTCACAGCCGCCGCTGGGGCAGTTGGCCGTGCACTTGTCTTTCTCGGCGGCCTTGCACTTGCCGCAGAGAGCAACATACTGTTCACATTCGGTGCATTTGCTGGAGGCTCTGCACGCCGAATAGCACGCCGGATACGTAACCGAGTAGCAGTGGTGGCGCCGGGACTCAGAGCATGGTGGGTCCCATGGCGCCGGAGCCGGCGCCGGCGCTGATGGTGGTGACGGTGCGGGCACTGGTGGCGCCTGTGCCGGCCCCGGGGACGGGGACAGACAGTGGCCGGATGAAGGTAGAACCAGCATGGCGAGGACGGCCGCCATGAGAGCGAGGCCAACTGAACCTGCGGAAGCCATTAGTTGGAAAAGAAGAGGGACAAAAATGTGAAGATCGACTTACACTGATGTGCGTATGAAATAGGACAAGGCGAGGTTATTTATAGGCATAGCCCGAGATCCTACTTATGGGCTTATAGCTAGCAGCATGCACTACTACTACTACTAGGACTACATATCTAACTAATCTTTGTAAAATGAATCAAGTTGCGGGTTAAGATCTGTTACAAGTTGACATATGTGCAGAGATCGACCAGGGAGCAGTGCTGCTTATCTTGACCGATTCATCGCGTTGCATTTTGAGATCTGGGCCGTGCATGTTACAAAGTTGACATGCTGAGAGAGCAGTGCTACTTATCTTGACCGATTCATCGCGTGGACTTTCTGCCAGTCTTGGATCTCCATGGAGAAGAACACCACCTTGATTAATTACTCGAATGTCTCCCGAAACCTTACATTTTCAAGGTAGTTTCGCGCGGACAATATATTGTGAATATCCACAATTTCTTTTTTTGAAGATCGACTTAAGTTGGTGCGCGTACGAGAAATGAGAGAAAGCACAGAGTCGTTTCTAGGCACAGCCAAGAATCTCATGTATCTATATACTGTGGACTACATGTCTACATATCTATGGGAGCGACTACGTGTAAGTCGACTGATTCTTATTTTTGGGCCAGTCGACAAACAACGCGTGTGTTTGCTAGCCGGCCCTTTCCATCCTGATTCGCTATGCTAGCAGCTAGCCGGCCCTCCGATCCAAACTTTTTTGCAGTACCCTTGCATGTATCAACGCATGCATGCATGTAATGATGCCTTCTGCATGCATATGCATGAATGCGTGATACATACGCCCTTTCCTCCAATCGTTCTTCTTTACATCCAAACTATTTTTTGATACGTAGTAATTGCATGCTTGAATGCTGCTTTGTGTGCCTGCTTTTGTCGTTGAGCTGAGGAGTACTACTATGATTGATGGACTAACTTTGCCTAACCTCTAGGAAGTTGCACTCCTACACCATCAACCGTA